TTCATTACTTGCTGATGGTTGAGAGGTTAGAACCACCCCAGAGATACCTTACCAAAAGAAGCCTTTCCATGAATCTCCTGGGGAGATTAAGACATGGAGGCAAATGCAAGCAGGTGGGAGACGTTCGTTGTGACAGTGTTCTATACAGAGTTTAATAAAGCACCCTGAACAAAACTCCCTCTACCTCACGCTCCTAAATGTTAAATTCACAGACCACGACTCACAGCGCTAACAGGATAAAGGAACAGCAATAGGGAAAGTGGACGGTTAGTCTCATACAGTGAACTGTAGCATTGTCTTCTAAGTACGCACATCTTATCTACACCACATTTGTAGTTTTTTCAAAATTTAACACAGAGAAGCAAAACAAAATTCATGAACCCGCCATCACAACTAACTAGTTTCATTTTATTATATTTGCTTCAGATTTCAAAAATACAGTATGATGAATACAGAGCAAATCTCCTTTGTAGCCCTCCCATTCCCACTCGTCCCTTCATCCCCTGGAGGTAATCAATCTCCTGAATTGGGTGTGGAGTCTTCTACTCCATATGTTTATACTTTTACATTGTCCATATTCATAAACCAAATGTGGTATTGTTTCCTGTTTTCACAATTTTTTTTAAAGATTTTATTTATTTATTTGACAGAGAGAGAGACAGCAAGAGAGAGAACACAAGCAGGGGGAGTGGGAGAGGGAGAAGCAGGCTTCCCGCTGAGCAGGGAGCCCGCCCGATGCGGGGCTCGATCCCAGGACCCCGGGATCATGACCTGAGCCGAAGGCAGACGCTTAACCAACTGAGCCACCCAGGCGCCCCAGTTTTTACAAATTTTTATGAAGTTATGTGTCACACTGTATACATCATGCTGGCTATTTTTTTCATTTAACATTGTGTTTTAGAAATTCATTCCTGTAGCTGTTTATAGATCCGCTCCATTCACTTCAACTGTTATATTCTATCAAATTTATACCGCATTTTAATTATCCGGTCCCTCTTTACGAGTCATTTAGGTGGCTACTCATTTTTATTATTACAAACAGTGCTGCAATAAACATCCTAGACATACCTCCTTATGCACATGTTCAAGAGAAATTGGGAGGACACACACCTAGGAGTCCAATGCTAGGTTTTAATTGTACTAGACAGGGCCAAATAGGTCTCTAAACCGGAATTTCCCACTTCTCCTCATTTTCATCACACCTGTACTGTGATTTAATGTTTGCTAATCTTTTAATGTTTGCTAATCTAATAAGTGTGAAATGATATTTCATAGTCATTTTAATATGCCTGTCCCAAATGACCACTGGAGGTAAACATCTTTTCATGAGTTGACTGATGCACTTTCCTCTTCTGCAACACTGCCTGGCCAGTCGTTCCACTTTTCAAGGCACCACGAAAAGACATTTATTGTGTGAATGATTTGAATGCACTGTTAGTTCCAGGAGCTGATAAATAAAGTTGGGGTTATTAAGAGTTTACATTAAAATAATGCATTCCAGAACACCAGAGGATCGTACCTCAAGCTCGGGTCCACAATGTCATCACAATTTTGCTGGTGAAACTAATGCTTGTTACAGGTTACACGTTGGCTAATGGATGTTTTAAATCTTGTTCAAATTATACTACAATCTGTGATCCGTGATCCCTAGGAAAATGAAGGAGCTGGAGTCTATGGCTTAGAACAAAGAAGTAGGATCCATTTTTACTTTGTGTCTAAAGGGATCCCAAAACAAAGAATTGTATTCCAACACTCCTCCTCCAGACAGCCCGGCAAACAAACATACACAGACGCAAACACCAAATAATGATGATGGCGTCAAGTCTGAATCACTGTCAGGAAACAGAAACAGAAATAAAGTACACAGAATTATTCATATTTACATACCACAAATAGCTCTTACCCAAGGGAGGGCACATATATCTGGAGAGTAAGAATTTCTCTAACTGCAAAATGAAATATTACTGCTTGTTCATAAGACAACTATTTTTACATAAGGCAAATATTTTTTTCCTTTAAGCTTTTGGCTTATGTACTTTCAAACCACATAGCACTATTATGAGGGGCATCTGCATCTTATCATGCGAAGAGAAATCTACAAAATCTGCATCTGTTCTTTTCACACCTGAAAGGTGACCACTATAGAGATTCCAAAGATTGTGTTTGCAAAGAGTGTGAAGATAAGTCTCCTAGCTAAAGGAAACTGGATATTGAGGTAACTTTTTTTTTTTTTTTTAAGATTTTATTTATTTGACAGAGAGAGACACAGCGAGAGAGGGAACACAAGCAGGGAGAGTGGGAGAGGGAGAAGCAGGCTCCCAGATGAGCAGGGAGCCCGACACGGGGCTCAATCCCAGGACCCCGGGATCATGACCCGAGCCGAAGGCAGCCGCTCAACCGACTGAGCCACCCAGGCGCCCCTTGAGGTAACTTTTGATGAGCTATGTGATGGTTATCAATAATCCAAGAAAACAGTTAACCTAAAGACCCTTACAGTTGGCTTTGTAATGTGGTTTTGTCCTTTTAGTTTGAACTTGGATGTGTTTGAAAAGGGAGTTAAAACCATTAGAAATAATACTAATGGCCCCAGAAGGAAGAAAACGCAAAAGGATATAAACTTCCTATCTCTGTCCCCCTAGTGCTGTGTTTCTCAGCTGGGGATGGCCATTACCAAACCGCAGATGCAGAAAAGGCTCCCTGTCTGGCTGTCCCTCTCCCTGGCAGTCCCATCCACAATGTGCAGTGCTCTCTGGCAGGGTTCCCTCTCCCTGGCAGGGCTGCTGCGCAGGTGGTCTCCACGTTCCTTGGGCAACGGGAGACCAGGGCTTTGGTTTTTATTTTTATTTATTTATTTTTTCTTTCGATTTTATTTTTTGAAGTCATCTCGACACCCAACATGGGGCTCGAACTCACAACACCAAGATCAACGTTCCACCAACTGAGTCAGTCAGGCACCCCAGGGCTTTGGGTTTTAAGGCAAACATCAACCTCCCATCTAAGCCTACTCTGAAAAGGGCTTCTTAACTTTTTCCTCTGTTGGAAGAAGCAAACCCCACAAGATGATGGAAGCATCGTGTTACAACCGTGTAATGGGGCTCCCAGGGGTCCCCTGCACAGGCACTTCCCAGCCCACACCTAAAGATAAAGTCGCGCATTCCCAACACTCTTAAGACCTGGTTCTTTGATGGCAAAGACTGACCACATGTCAGGCAGGCATCAGTCAACAGTCATGGTCTCAGGCTTAGAGCTCTTTGGTACTAAACTCTCACCAACTGGGTCAGCCATAAAGAAAAGTTAAGTGACGGAAACAGCAGGTCCTGAACCCAGATCAGTGGCTTTTTTAGTGCTGCACACCCTCAAGATAAACTTATCCCCTGTGGGTGGATACCTGGCTAGGCCTGCAAGATGACAGCAGGGGGAGTATAGGGGTGGGGGGCAGGGTGGCATTGTTCAGAAGAGGAGTCATGTGCCTGGAATTCTTGGTTAGAAGAGGAAAGAAAAAGAATTTTCTCAAAGAAAAAGTATTATAAATGAACATCAGGCATCATGGACACAATTCTATTTTCTCTGTATGAAATACTCTTTTGTGATTTAGGAAATACCTTTCCCTCCACAGGAAAATTACATTTAAAGCTGAAAGAACGAACTTAAAGGAACCTCAGAATACTGCATATTTGTGAACTGAGAACTTGCTTTGCCAGAAAAAGGACTGACATCATCTATGTGTCCATCATTTGAACAGCTCTTCTGGCTGGTGATATAATCAACTGAACTTGCAAACATTTTAATGGAAAACAGAATCAGTAAGACAACCCTTACCTTCCCCCACACCCCCTTCTGCTGGCTGAGCAGCTGCCTTATGCCAGGTTTAAGCAACTGGCGGAGTGGTGGTTAGACTCAGGACTTCCCTGTACTTTCCTTAGGAAAATTATCATCGCATGGTCATGGTCACTGTCCTTACCTACCTGTCTGCCTGCCTCACCCCACCCCCACTAGAAGGCAAACTTCACCGGAAAGGGGCTTTGATTTTTCCACCGTTGTAGCCCCTGCCAAGCACATAATAGGCACTCACTAAATATGTGTTGACTGAAGTAGTACAATGACCCACTCACAGTAAATACTACTAAAGAATTGTGAATGAACCGCCTTTAGAATATTGGGAGCATAATTGATGTTAAATGGGCCATTCAGAAGGGCAAAGGAGTAACTCTTGCCTGGCAAAGTGTATCTATAGTGACCTTGAGCATACTAAACCCCCATTTTTAGGCTGGGTGGGCAAGCAGTCTGAGAGTTCTGTACGAGGAAGAAACGATTCTAGCGTATAACCACACTTCGTAGATGGCATTATTCAACTTATACGAGTCTCCGCCCGACGCTGGCCTCTGGGCAGAATGACCCAGCAGAACTTCAACCGGAGAGAAATAAAGCCTCTGCACGGAAAGCATCTAGCCCAGGAAGCCCCCTCGAATCGGGAAAAGATGGTAAGCAGATGCCCAGAACTGCAGGAGGCCGCGCTCCAGATCGGACCTTCGTGAGCTGGCGATCAGGGCTCTCTCTGGGCTCCAGATTCCAAGGTGACGTAGCCACAGGTGAGAAACAACTCCCTGGTGCTTTCACGGTGTAGTCCAGGTAACCGCGGAACTGGGCATCGTTTATTCACCAGCTCAAGGGCTGAAGTACACCCCCGCCCCCTTCTCCCACTCCTTCTCCCACTCGAGGTGGCGGGGTGGGGGGGCCCGGCGGAACCGCCCAAGGGGGCAGGCTCTGAGGCCTGGGCGGGCACCGCAGGCCCGGCCCGCCGGCGACCTTGGCGTGCTGCGGCCCACCCAGGCCGGCCCTCGCGCGGGGTGGGGGGCTCGCGGCCGGCCCCTCGGGGTTTGTGGAGACGCGGCGGCGGGCCGGGCTTCGCGGCGGGGCGGGGGGGGGACCAGCGAGGGGAGGAATGGTCCGCGGGAGGCGGAGAAGCGGGGCGCTGGAGGGGGGGGCGGCGGGGGACTCACCTGCAGCAGCACGGCCAGCAGGAAGCACAAGTACCTCTGGTAGATGCCCATCTCCCCCACCGCCTGGAACGCCTCTTCCACCTCCATGGCGGGCCTGGCCCGGCAGCCCCAGCTCGGCCCGGCGGCGCGGAGCGGGAGCGGGGGCGGGGGAGGGGCGGGGGGCGGGGCGGCGCGTGTGCGCGGGCGGGGCGCCGGGGCCGCGGGGCTTCCTGCTGGGGCTCCGGGTCCGCGAGCGCGCGGCTCACGGGGCGAGGGAAGAGGAAGTGGGCTCGGGCTGAGGCATGCTCGCGGATGGGGAAGCACGGAAGCCGCGGCCGGTCGGCGCCCGGGCCCTGCTTGGGGCGGGGGCGCGATAACTGGGCGGCCCGGTGGGGGCTCAGCATTGTTTGTCCTTTTGCACAAATCGGGGTGGGGGGTGCTGGGGGCGTTGTGGAGCCTTCGGAGCAGAATGCTGCTCAGGCTTGCTTTGCAGTTCTACTCCGTGCTAGCTTTGTAGGGGTCACAGGTAAACGAATTCTCGTAAAGCCGCGAGCTTCATTTGCAAACAGAAATATGCAGGAGGTAGAAAGGAAATGCCGAAGAGCGAAGGTGAAGGTGTGGGACGGGAGGTGATGGATGCCAAGGTGTTCGAAGGATCAGCAGCATTTGCCAGGCGGGAAAGGTGCGGAGGAGGATGAGGCAGGGCCGAGTGAGGGGTCGCCGGCCTTGAGTCCCCTCATTCCAGCACCTCCTGAGCTTGGTTTTAACAGCTGCCTACGGTTCCCTCGTCCAGGCCATGATCCCCAATACAATGTGGACGGAAGAAGTGACCAACTAATGTTTTATTTAGGCTTTCACATCTAAGGGAATGAGATAGGCCTGTAGTTTTCTTCCTACTGTCCCCGTCTGCGTTTGGCAGTAAGCTCACAGCAGCTTCCTAAAAGGAGTTGGAAGTGTTTGGTAAAACTCTCCTTTAAACCATCTGGATTGGCTTGTTTTGCAGGGCGATCCCCTTTATTAGATAGATAGATAGATAGATAGATAGATAGATAGATAGATAGATTACATACATTTTAATGGCTTTCTGCTTTTAAATTACTTTTTTTTCTAAAAATGTTTCTATTTTATCGACTTTTGTTGGTTTTGTAATAAACTTGCTCTTCTTGTTCCCTTAGGGTTTTATAAAATCATGCTCTGGCTCTATTTGTGCCCTATTTTTCATTGTTAATATCGTTTATTATTTATTTTTCATTCTTACCAGTCATGCTAGAGGTTTCTCTCTTTTTTTTAAAGACCCAATTTTTATTTTGTGGTTTTTCTTCCTGTATTTCTTTGTTTTCTATTTTGTGGATTATGTGAATTCTTTTCCTCCTTACTTCTGTGACTGTGTAATTCTTTTATTAGCTACATGACTTGAAAGTTTAGCTTATTTACTTTTAGTTTTACTTTTTTAAGAATAATTATATTTCAGGCTATGCATTTCTCTTTGCTCTGACCTACAAGTTTTGTCATGTGGTTTTTTGCCTTTAGTTTGGAATATTCCATTCCATGACATCCTAATGTCCTCTTTAAACCAATGAACTATTTGTTAAGGCTTTTTCTTTTTTCTTTTTTTTTAGTTTACAAGTAAATGTTATTGCTATTTTTAAACTATCCTTTTATTGTTGGTTACTAATTTAAGTATTTAACTCCTTTTTGAACAGAGATGATACAAATCTTGGAAATTGTTAGAGGTTTCTTGTGACCAACTATGCAGTCATTTTAGAAAAATAGACTGAGTGGATTGAAAATATTCTCCATTTGTTTGGGTGTAAGGTTCTCTATATATTAGATCAAGCTTGTTAATTGTATTCAAGTAATGTGTATTGCCACTGGATATACCAATTTTTAATAAATGTGTCAAAATCTTCCAAAATGTGTATCATTTTTGAGTTTTTATCAAGTTCCTTTTATTTCTGTAGGTTCATAAAAGTACCAATTATTCAATTCCTTTTATCATGATAAAATAGCTTTTTTCTCTTTTAATGCTTTTTGTCTTGATTTTAATTTTGTCTAATGTTAATATTGCTGCATCAGGGGGTTTTTTGGGTATTATTTTCCTTATAATCTTTATTTTCATCCTTTTGTGTTCATTATGTTCTAGGCATGTTTATGGAAGGAGGATCTTTTTGTCCATCCAATTTGATAGTCTTTGTCTTTTAACATGTGAATTAAATCCATTTATATTTATTGTGAGCAATATATTTGGGATGATTTCTACCATTTCATTTTCTGTTTGCCATCATCTTTTTCCCCCCCCTTCTTTGCCATCTGTTGGAGTCTGAAAGCCATTTTCATCCTGCCCTTCTCTCTTTTTGCTTTTTGGGGACCTACAGATTGCATTATCATTATTAATTATTATTATTATTATTATTTCGGTAGTTACGCTTATATTTTTAACATTTATATAACCATATACTCTTCTATAATGTTCATAGTTATTTAATACATCTATTCTCTTTTCAAACTCACAGGAAACTACACAAGATTCTGAAGGGATGCAGAACAAGTCTCCCCAAAATTTGTCACTTTAGCATGTTGACTATTTTTAGCAGAAGGCAATGGAGGCACAGCAGACTCAAGGAAAATTTTCCTCTCCTTTAAACTATGTAAAAGAATCTAGATAGGAGGCCTATCCCAGAAAGAGAATGATTACTAAGAGAGAACTTCTTCTATCTGAAAGTCTTACCTGTGTGGCAGGACAAACATCTAATTACCAAACATCTGCTCTTCTTACTGTCCTATGAATCACCCTTTACCCTTCTGAAGCTCCAGGCCCCTATCCCATACCTTAGTTCAGGATAGCATATAAGCCTCAAGTGCCCTCCTTGTCCTTGGATCTCATATTCATATTCCCTGTATGGATGAAATTAAATGTTTTCTCCTGTTAAGCCATTTTATGTTATTATTAGACCAGCCAAAGAACCTAGAATGGTGAAATGAAAATGTTTTCTCCCCAACAATTCCAAGAACGTTTTATCTGAGAAAACACTGGAGGGCATAAAGATGTTATATTCCGGAAGACTTTGTTAGGTGACTCAAGAAGTTACTGTTGTGGTGCTAAAACATTGATGGAGAAGATTCGTGTGAAGTGTTTTATTAAAAAACTTCTATTGTTAAGAAAAATTAGCCTGCACTTGGAAATAATAAGAAAGCAAGAAGAGGACTGTGTGTCCTTTCAATGTAGTAATGAAGCATTGTTTAACAGGTCCACTCTAGGATTACTTAATTCTCTAAGAGAATTTGCCTGTGTTTAACTTTTGTATTTACTACAAATTAGAGTCCAGATACTGTGCAGTTCCATGTAAATTTGTAGATTTTTTTTGGTAGAGATGTAAACGACTATGTTCAATAGATAAGATAACCTATCACTTCATTACTGTATAAAACATTCACTTGTTTTGTACAAATCTAGAAATCCTATTTTAACTTTTTTTTTTTGGAAATTACCAGTTCCTCAACTGTTCTTAGCACCAGCTTTTCCAGAGTACTGGTTCTTTCATCAATTAAAATAAAATTTTTGACATGGGTTCATTCTCTATTGGTAAGAAAGTCATGGTTTTAACTTCTTTGACATCATGATGTATGGGGAATTTAAAAACTATAAGTTAATATTCATATGATATGGCTAACTTAATAAATTGTTAAGTAGAAATTGGGTTATTTCATCTTCTTAAAAGTTTATATATTAATTCATCTTGTATTAGACATATATGGACATATATGCTTAAAGCAGTTGGCTAGTGTGAGAACAGAAAGTGCAACCTGTGGATTGTCAGAAATGAGATCTGATGGGTTGATAGAGGCCAGGGATGAGGTGCTAAGGAGCTTAAACTTTCGCCTACAGGTGATAGGGAACCACTGAAGTGTTTTAAGCTAGAGTTGGTATGATTTTTAAAAGATGACTTGACAGCAGTGTTAAAAGCATGTAACACCAGTTGAAACACTGCTCTAATGGCCCAGGCAAGAACCAATGAGGACCTGAGAGCTTAAACCGGAACAGTAATAATAAAGATGGAGAAGTGAAGTCAAATTTAAAGTAAAATTTCAAAAATTGATAGTAACTGCATTCTGCACAGGCAAAAGAGAGAGAAATCAGGAATGACTCCTATGTTTCTGACCTTGATGACTGGGAAAATGGAGGTACTATTAACTAAGGTATGGAACACAGAGGGTGGAGTAGCTTGGTAGTGGTGGGTTGCAGGGCCTAGGACAGGAATGGTGGCACAGACCAGCATTGCTCTTTTAAATGGTCATTGCCCCTTTAAGATCCTGCCCTTCCCCCTTAACCCACCCAGGCCCCTGCTGGATTTCCTTGCCCTAATTTACAGTCAGCACCAGAGCTTCAGAGCATGCTCTGAAGAAAGAGCTGGACTAATTAAAGCTCTCCTGAGGTTCAAGGTATTGCATCTGTGGCTCTTAGCAAAGAGTTCCATTTTCAGAGCGTATTTTCCCCATCTGACTATTCTTTTCTCATTTTTCTTTTTCTTAAGCCCTTTCCTACCATAATTTTATAGTACCTGAATCTTTCCTTTATCACTCAGGAGTAATGAGCATTGCGGGTTTTGTTTTGTTTTGTTTTTTTAAACAAAAAATTAAAATAATGTTTAGAATAGGGTGTCTGTCAAATACATACTTTTGGGGATCTGAGAAGAAAAACAGTAAGCTTTATCTGGTAAATTATATAAGGCTTTGAGGCAAATAGACTCAGTCATTATAATCTTTCTAAATTATGATTCTAAAAGGTGCACACCTAACCACTCTATCATGTCTTCTGCTCTATTGGTAATTTGGTGTCCCAGAAGGCTACTGAAATTTGGTGTGCAAGATAACAAGACTTCACGCGTGTCAGGTGTTGTTTCAAGTCCTCAGAAATCAGTGTCATAGACCCACCTAAATGTACCAAGAATTACTATCTTCTTTAAAAACCTGAAGAACATTTTTCCTTCTTCATAAACCTCCATGCTGTGATAACCTTTCATTGTTAATATTTCGCAGCAACACACCTTAATAAAGATGACCGAAGTACAAATACCTCTGTCAATATTAAGTTGATATAAACAAAGCAAATACGATGAGAATAACCAGATCACAAGGAAGCTCCCTCCCAGGAGGAAGGAGCAAGAAGACTGAGGGAGGAGAA